ATTGTCAGGGCGCAACAGTTACGTTTATTTGCAGTGTTGAAGTCCCGGGAATAGCGTTCTGGCACCATACAGCATCGCCGAGACGTAACAGTCAGGCTAACTCGTGGCGTTGAAGTCCTGTGAATGGTGTCTTTGCACACTTCAAGATGTTCACACCGTTGTCCCCCAACGGGTCAATTCCCTCAGTGGAAATGACACCTTGTAGGGGCCTGCACAGGGGAAATTGTTGACGCTTCGCGTATCCCCACCAGCCCATCCAGAAACGATGCTCAGGGGAGTTGAGGTGATCAGGGAAGTCGGGGAGCATGCAGAATAACAAAGGGCGGGGGAAGCTGTCACAGACCCCGAGAGGGGGAGGATGGAAGAGGAGTCGTCGTCGTCGTCGTCGTCGTCGGAGGAGGAGGAGGAGGAGGAGGGGGAAGAGGAGGAGGAGGAGGAGGAGGAGGAGGACGGAGAAGGAGGAAGAATCGGAGGAGGAGGAGGAGGAGGGGAAGGAGCTTCTTGGGGGTCTTTTGAGGGCCTCTTGGAGGGCTTTTTGGGCGCCTTGGGGCATCTTGGGCGCCTCTTGGGACCCTCTTGAGGCGCTCTGGGGAGCCTTCGGGGCGCTTTTGGGGCCATCTTGGAGGGAGTCGATCAAACAAGAGGGGGGGTTTAATTAGCGCCCCCCCTCGGAAGCCCCTAAAATCGCCTCTTGGACCCCTCTTGGAACGCTCTTGGAGTGCTCTTGGGCGCTCTTGGGGCCGTCTTGGGGCTCTTTTGGGGCTCTCTTGGGGCCCTCTTGGGCCATCTTGGAGCCATCTCCAGGCCTCGGATGGCCATCGGAAGCGAAAAGGCGAGAAAGCAAAAATCATTGATTTTCCTTAGGTTTTGGGACGATTTTGGCCTCTTCGGGGCCTCCTTGGGGAGCTGTTTGGCCACTTGGAGTTATCTTGGGGCCGTCTTTGGGCTTCTTGGAACCATCTTAGGAGCCATCGTGAGCGATCTTGCGCTATCTTGAGCCATCTTGGAGCTCATCTTGGGTTCTCTGAGGCGCTCTTGGAGCCGTCTTGGGCCATCTGGGACGCTCTAACTACCCGCGGCCCCCCCCGTCCAGGTCCAGGGGAGGGGGTAGGGGGAGGGGTAAACCCCTCCCCAAGGGGGAAGAGGGAGGGGTGGAAGAGGATCTGTTCTAGACCACCTACGCCCAGAGGGCTGGTGGGATTTAGAGGGAGGGTGTATTTCAACACCGTTGATGAGTCTTGGGCTTACACTGGTCCTCATCATCCTCCTCATCAGCATCAGCATCAGCATCACCATCCTAATCCAACCCCACCTCCTCCTTCTCCCCCTCATCCTCCTCCTTCTGCTCCTCCTCCTCCTCCTTCTACTCCTCCTCCTCCTCCTCCTCCGCCTCCTCCTCCTCCTCTTCCCTCCTCCTCCTCCTCCTCTCCTCCCTCCTCCTCCTCCTCATCATCATCATTCTCCTTTCTCCTTCTCCTCTTGCTCCCCCATCCTCATCCTCCTCTTGCTCCTCCTCATCCTCCTCATCCTCCTCCTCCTCTTCCTCCTCCTCCTCCTCCCCGCCTGCTCCTCCTCCTCCTCCTACTTCTCCTCTTTTTGTCCGCGGCCGCGTGCGAGGCACCGTGGCGTTCAAGAGCGGCGCGAGCGCTTAACACTCCCCTGCACCTCCTCCTCCTCCTTCTCCTTATCCTCCTCCTCCTCGCTCTCCTCCTCCTCCTCCTGCTCCTCCTCCTCCTCCTCCTCCTCGTCATCATCATCATCATCATCATCATCATCATCATCATCATCATCATCATCATCATCATCATCATCATCCGCCTCCTCCTCCTCCTCATACTTCTCGTCATCCTCATCCTCCTCCTCCTCCTCATCATCATCATTATCACCATCATCATTTTCATCATCGTCATCATCATCAGCATCAGCGTCAGCATCAGCATCATCAGCAGCAGCATCATTATCATTCGCCCCCTCCTCCTCTTCCTCCTCCTCCTCTTCCTTCTCCTTTTCCTCCTGCTCCTCCTCCTCCGCCTCCCCCTCCTTCGAGCGTCGAGTCAATGGCGCTGGGGTTGTTCAGACGCCGCCTCCCCCCCCTGCGACTCAGACAGAACGCGATCGGTACGTCCGCGCACCTATGACAGCAACCCCAGCAACGCGCCCGGCGAACACGAAGTGGAGCCGGCCGCAGGCGAGCTCCAGGCGGCGTCGCCCCTGCGCCAGGGGGACGCATCATCGCCGACCCTGTTGCTGCACACTCACACACACACACACACACACACACACACACGCACCCTGCTCCAGTGACGGGCGCCTACATCGCCTGGGCAAGCCAGGCGCGGAGGCGGGCAACAGGCCAGCCAGCGAAGCGGGGCTGGAAGGCGGCCACGCGAGTGCCAGGCGTCGCGGCCCACGCTTCAACGAGCGCGGTCTACCACGCGGCCTCGCCGCCGTCCGCTCCCGCCGCTGCGCCAGCAGCAACAGCAGCCGCCGCCGCAGGCTTACCCGGCATTGCCCTCCGCGGGCCGCTCGGCGCTCCCCCCCTCGCCGCCGAGCCCAGCTCCAGGCGCCTCACGAGTGGGGGGCGCCACGCCAGCTGCCTCCAGCAAGCAGCGGCGACTGGCGCCACGGCGGGCGAATCGGCCGAGGGCGCTGGGCGGGACACGCTGTCCGCCCAGCCGTCGTCCACGAGGCCGACGCCGTCGCCGTCGCCGCCTGCACCGCCAGCCACCTCGGCGGCGTCGGCGTCGTCGGCGCTACCGCCAGCCACATCGCCGCCTGCACCGCCAGCCAGCCTCCTCCTCCTCCTCCCATCACATCATCATCGTCGCCATCATCAGCATCAGCATCAGCATCAGCATCAGCATCAGCATCAGCATCATCAGCATCAGCATCAGCATCAGCATCAGCATCAGCATCAGCATCATCATCATCATCATCATCATCATCATCACCATCATTATCATTATCATTATCATTATCATTATCATCACCATCATCATCACCACCATCAGCAGCAGCAGCATCATCAACAGCATCATCTTTGTTTGACGTTGCATTGACATGAGCTGTACAGGAGTTGCGTCTATGTCAGGCGCCTGCAGCAAGTCAATCTGGCTCAGGGGACAGGGCCTTGATAACAAGCGATTGGCACGCAGATAATGGACATAGCAGCGCAATGAGAAGGAGCGCAAGCAGGTAAGCCCGCAAGGGTTTGAAGTAAACTCAGCGTGCCGCAATGCAGTGTGAAAGGAGAAGCACACACCGTGAGAACCAGAACCAGCAGAAGCAAGAAGGCGAAAGCGGTGAATACTGGAATGCAGCAGCGGAAAACAAGCGGCTTGCGGGCGGAAGCTGGAATGAAGAGGTGTAGTGTGGCTGGCGCTGCTAGGTTACAGTGATCTGACGGGCTTATCCTGCCGCAGGCTCCTAACCGAGATCGGTCTCCCAATTGCATCTATGAGCTGTCGGCAAATCATAGTTTCCCATCCCTCCCCAACCTCCTTGAACCAATCCCCATACCCCAATCACTCCCGTCGGGTGCCTATTTCCGCTAAGCTCGTAACAGCCCAAAGCGAGGTGATAGGAAGGGATGTTATCAGAGTGAGGGTGACGAACGGTCTTACACCACCCCTGGGTGCGTCGCTGAAGTGGGCGTCTGCGGTGAGGGCTACTGTTGTCGTTGGTGTTGTTGTTGATGACGATGTTGTTGTTGTTGTTGTTGTTGTTGTTGTTGTCGTCGTCATTGTTCTCGCCTGAGACACCCCTGCGACCCACCCACCAGCAACCCACCCCGCGCCCGCCCCCTCATTCTTATCCACAATTGCGGGGTGCCACGTAAAACGAACGGTGAGTGTGGTACGCTCTATTTTGTATTATTTTGTCGCTTGACCTGGGAGCACCATGTGCGCCTCGAGCGAGGCAGTTCAATCACAATCAGTCGGTGGTTCCTGAGACTCTAGCTGCTGGTACGCTGCTGCAGAAGCGGCCTAGACAAATGTAGAAGTACGCAGAGCAGGTCGGGCACTACAGGCGGGTCAATTGTGTCAGGCGACTTGGGTGGGGGGCATTCGTCCTAATAATGCTACGTCCTGCCCCACATCATCTCCTGAACTCATGCTCCAACCCCACCCCCACCTGCTAGCGGGATGAAAAGCGGGGCGGCATGCGGCTGAAAAGGTGTGGCGTAGGCGTCAAAGTGAGAGCACCCTAGGAGGGTGAGGTTAGCAACCTGTGCATCTGACATCGTACCTGATTGTTAAATGGTACTGAGCTGGTTGGTCATCCTGCGCTGCTGTATAATGGTGGACAGCTAGCGCTGCGGGAGCAGCCGGCACCAGGACAAGTCAGACAGACAGGTGAGGGTCTGTGGCATTAAAGTACTGCTTCTCTCCCTCTTTCCCCACCAACCTCCGCTAGTAGACAAAAGCTGGTTGTAGGGCTGTAGGGCGCTGGGCGCCGTTGTCGGTCAAAGTAGTGGCCGGTCGGAGGAAGCAGCAACTTATTTGATTGACAGTATACAGGTAAGATGGTTTTAGTGTTATCGCTGTCAGCCGTCCTTGTGAGCGGTGTGAGGCCCCCAGCCTCCTCGCTAGGAGCTTCCTCTTCCTCATTCGCCCCCCCCTACACGCATTGCCCCAACCCCTCCTCCACCGCCGCCGCTGCCTCATCCTCCTCCTCCTCCTCCTCCTCCTCCTCCTCCACCTCCTCCTCCTCCTCCTCATCATCATCATCATCATCCTACTCCTCCTCCTCCCCCCTCCGCTTATCCTGCTCGCTGTTTCTTCTTGTCTGGTTGTGCATGACACGATGGTGTCCTTTTGAGAGCTCCAGGTCTGCTATGACACCCGTCGGCTGACATAGAGAATTTCAGCTCAATGGGACGTGATGGGAAGGAGGGCAGGATGTCAGATATGGCGTGGGCGCACCTAGCTCGTCCCCCCCTCCTCCGCGCTTCCCCCCGCCTTCCCCGTCACCCCGTGACCCCGCGAGCCCCGCGCCAGGAACGAGCTCGGCAACGAAGGCTGGGCGAACCCCACCGAACACCGCCGCTGACGACAACGACGATAACGACGACGAGGACGCAGACGACGACCCGACGCCGACGACGACGAAGGCGACGATGACGACGCCGACGACGACGAAGATGACGACGACGACGACGCCGCCGCCGCCGCCGACGGCCACGGCAACAGCTGCTGCGACGGCGACGGCGACGACGACGACGACGACGGTGACGACGACGACGACGACGACGACGCTGCCGCCGCCGCCACCGCCGCCGACGACGACGGCGACGACGACGACGACCCCGCCGCCGACGACGACAACGTAACGACGATGCCGGCGACGCCGACGACGACGACTTCGACGACGCCAACGCCGACGCCGCCGACGCCGACGCCGACGCGGACGACGACGCCGACGCCGACGCCGACGCCGACGATGACGACGACGACGACGGCGACGACGACGATGACGACGACGACGACGACGACGAGGACGACGACGACAACGAGGACGACAACGACGACGACGGCGACAACGACGCCGACGCCGACGACGACAACGATGCGCACGACGACGACGCCGACGACGACGACGAAGACGACGACGACAACGACGACGTTGACGGCGACAACGACGACGACGACGACGACGAAGGTGTCGCCGACGCCAGCGACGCTGACGACGACGAAGACGACGCGGATGACGCCGACGCCGACTCCGACGACGACGACAACGACGACGACGACCACGACGGCGGCGGCGGTGACGACGACGACGACGACGACGACGACGACGACGACGACGCCGACGACGACGACGACGACGACTACGACGGCAACAACAGCGCCGACGGCAACGCGGACGACGACGACGCCGCCGACGCCGATGGTGACGCACACGACGCCAACAGTGATTCCGATGGCGGCGGGGACAACGCTGACGCCGACGATGACGACGACGCCGACGAAGCCGACGACGACGTCGATGCCGACGCCGACGGCGACGGTAAGGCCGACAACGCCGACGCCAACGCCGACGCCGATGACGACGCTGACGACGACGACGCCGAGACGACCACGACGCCGTCGCCGACGACGCCGACGCCGCCGACGCCGACGCCGCCGATGCCGACGCCGACACCGACGAGGGCGACGACGACCACGAAGACGATGACGACGATGACGACGACGACGACGTCGACAACGACTTCGACGGCGACGGCGACGACGCCGACTTCGACGACGACGACGACGCCGACGACGACGGCGAAGTCGTCGACGACGGCGACGCCGACGACGGCGCCGCCGCCGACGCGACGGCGACGACGAAGACGACGACGACGACGACGCCGACGACGCCGACGATGCCGACGATGCCGACGATGCCGACGACGACGACGACGACGACGACGACGACGACTACGATGATGACGCCGACGGAGGCAACGGCGACAACGGTGCCGACGCCGACGGCGACGACGGCTTCAGTGGCGCCGACGACGACAAAGACAAAGTCGACGACGACGACGACGACGACGACGACGACGACGACGGAGACGCCGACGATGGTGACGACGGCGACGACCGCTACAGTGCCGCCGATGACGACGCCGACGCCGACGCCGACGACGCCGCCGACGATGGTGACGACGACGACGACGCCTACGACGACGACGTCGACGTCGACGACGATGGCGACGGGAACAGCGCCGACGCAGTCTTCGACGATGACGACGACGACGACGGCGGCGACACTGGCGCCGACGCCGACGCCGATGATGACCACGACGACGACGACGACGACGACGACGACGCGGACGACAACGACGACGGTGACGACGACGACGACAACGACGACGACGACGACGACGACGACTCCAGCATCGACAACGATGGCGACGACGATGACGGCGACGGCGATGGCGACGCGGACAACGATGACGACGACGATGACCATGACGACGACGACGACGACGACGACGACGAAGACGACGACGCTAATGACGAAGACGGTGACAACAGCGCCGATGCCGACGCCGATGACGACTACGACGACGACGACGACGACGGTGACGACGCGGACGACAACGACGACGGTGACGACGACGACGATGACGATGACGAAGACCACGACGATGACGACAACGATGCTGCCAACGACGCCACCAACGACGCCGACGACGATGGCAACGCCGACGACGCTGACGACTACGACGACGGCGACGGCGACAGCTACCTCTGCGCCGACGCGGACGACGACGAAGACGACGACGGCGGCGACGACGACGACGACGGAGACGACAACAACGACGACGACGACGACAAGGACGACGACGACGATGCCGATGACGCCGACGCCGACGACGACGGTGACGACGACGACGGCGACGACGACTACGACGACGGCTACGACGACGGCTACTGCGACGGCGACTGCGACGGCGACGGCGACGAAGACGACCACAGCAACGACAATGACGACGACGACGACGACGACCACGACGACGATGCCGATGACGACGACGACGACGACGACGCGGACGACGACGACGACGACGACGACGACGACGACGACGACGACGACGACGACGACGACGCCGCCGCCGCCGCCGCCGCCGACGACGACGACGACGATGCCGACGACGACGACGACGACGACGACGCTAAAGACGACGACGGCGACTTCTGCGCCGACCACGACACCGACGACGACGACGAAGTGGACGACGACGATGACGACGACGACGCGGACGACAACGACGTTAGTGACGACGACGGCGACGACGGCGACGACGCCGCTGCCGCCGCCGACGACGACGACGATGACGACGACGCCGGCGACGCCGACGACGACGACGCCAACGCCGACGCCGCCGACGCCGACGCCGACGTCAGCGAAGACGAAGACAACGAAGAAGACATCAAGACGACGACGACGACGACGACGACGACGACGACGACAAGGACGACGACGACGACCACCACGACGGCGACAACGACGCCGACGACGCCTACGACGACGACGCCAACGCGGACCACGACGACGACGACGATGCCGATGATGACGCCGACGAAGGCGACGACGACAACGACAACGACGAGGACGACGCCGACGCCAACGTCGGCGATGACGAAGACAACGAAGACGACAACAAGGACGACGACGACGACGACGACGACGACGACGACAAGGACGACGATGACGACCACGACGGCGACAACGACGCCGACGACGCCTACGACGACGACGCCAACGCGGACCACGACGACGACGACGACGACGATGCCGACGACGAAGGCGACCACGACGACGACGACGACGACGACGAGGATGACGAGGATGACGACGACAACGACGACGACGACGACGACGACGACGAAGTTGACGGCGACGACGACGACGACGCGGACGACGACGACGCGCACGGCGATGACGCCGCCGATGCCGACGATGATGCCGCCGCCCCCGACGCCTACGCCGACGAGGTGGCTGACGCCAGCGACGCTGACAACGACGACAACGACGCGGACGCGACGCCGACGCCGAGAGCGGCCATGACGCGGACGTCGACGACGACGACGACGACGATGTCGACAACGTCGACGACGACGACGATGACAATGACGATGACGATGACGATGATGACGCGGTGGCGACGGCGGCGGTGGCGGCGGCGGCAACGACGACGACGACGGCGAGGACGACGACAACGGTGACGACGACGACGACGACGACGACGACGATGACGACGACGACGACGACGACGACGACGACAACGCAGCGACGACGACGCCGACGCCGACGCCGACGCCGACGACGACGACGCCGACGACGACGACGCCGAGAACGGCGCTGATGCGGACGACGACGACGCCGACGCCGACGACGACGATGACGACGACGATGACGACGGTGACGACGACGACGAAGACGACGACGAAGACGACGACGACGACGACGACGACGCCGACGCCGACGACGACGGCGACGGGGACAGCGTCAGTGGACGCTGACGCCGACGCCGACGACGACGACGACGACGATGCTGACTCCGGAGGATCCGAGCAGGAGGTCGGCGCGGGCGAGCAGGCGGACGGCGAGGGCGTCGATGTAGGCGGGAGGAGGACGAGTGCGAGATGGATGGGGTGGAGGAGGAAGCGGGCGACGACGACGGCGACGAGGTAAGCTTGCTCGGTTCAGCCTATTGCAGCGCCAAGGGGCCGAGGAGGGCCAAGAAGTCGGCTCTGAGTATTACGTCAGCCAGCGATTCCCCCAAACAGTGTGTTCTAGCATGCTATGTGGTATTAGCTACATGGCGCAATCGATACGGTGCAACTTCTATAGCGTCGCCTGTATGGTGCGAGTTACGACTGGATGTAAGCTATGTGGTGCAATCTACGTGGTGTACTCCATGTGGTGCAACCAACGTGGTGCAAGCTATGTGGCGCAATGCATGCCGCGAAGTCTACGTTCAGCCATATATGTGGTTCCAGCTAGGTGGTGCAACATGTGCTAAAGTGTTTATTTGGTGCGAGATATGTCCAGGGGACTCAGATTACAACAACCATGCAAAGGCAGCGCAAGGCCTTGAAAAGGTGGGCAAGGCACTGCAAAGCAATGCAACGTGACGGAGAGTATTGCAAAGTACGACATAGCACTACAAAGCAATGCCAACCATGGCACAGCAGTGCACAACGCAACGCAATGCGATTGGTAAAAGGGCACGATTGCCGTGCAATGGCGCAAAGCAGCGCCAAGCAACACAAAGCAATGCGCCAAGCAATACGGAGCCTTGCAACGCAATGCACTCCAATGCACATGAACGCAAAGCAACGCACAGCCATGGGAGGCAACGCGAAACAATGCGAAGCTGGCGGCAACGAGGCGGCGGGAGGTGACGAGGCGGCGACAACGGCCACATGGTGGCCAGAGCGGCCCGCAGGCCCAAGCGATGGGCGGCGACGAGGCGGCGACGGAGGCCACCTGGCCGCCAGAGCGGCCCGCAGGCCCAGTTCCTAAGAGGACAAATAGGAACCCCAAATTGCAAACACTGCCTGGGGAAGATTCATTTGTTCTGGGAGACGAAGACCTCTCCCTGTCTCTTTCTCTCTCTCTCTTTCCCTCTCCCTCTCTCTTTCTCGCTCTCTCGCTTTCTCTCTCTCTCTCTCTCTCTCACTCTCTCTCTCTCTCTCTCTCGCTATCTCCCTCCCCCTATTCCCCACATGGCCACATCCATCTCAAACGTGCTATCCGCATCATCCCCCTCGTCGTCCTCATCCTCTGCGGCGTCCGCGTCATCGTCTTCGCCGTTGTCGCCGCCCTCGCCTCGATCCTCCCTGTATTCGTCGTCCTCGCACCCGTTGTAGTGTACGTCCTCCTCGCCCGCGTCGTCGTTATTGACCTCGTCTTCGGCGTCGTCCTCCTGGGTCGACTACCGACCTCCCAAACAGGTAGGGCCAGGCCTACTCCCACCGCTACACAGCAATGCCAAGTGTTCCTCCTCCCCGCCCTCCCCATTCCCCTCCCTGTCGGTATCGTCATCCTCATCTGTTTCCGTCCCCCTCCTCCTCCTCCTCCTCCTTTTCCTCCTGATCATCATCATCACCATCATCAGAATCATCAGAATCATCATCGTCATCGTCATCATCATAATCAGCATCAGCATCATCATCATAATCATCATAATCATCATCGTCATCGTCATCATCAGAGTCATCACCATCATCATCATCATCATCATCATCATCATCATCATCCTCATCCTCATCCTCATCCTCATCCTCATCATCGTCATCCTCATCATCATCAGCATCATCCGCCCGCGTCGTTCGCTCCTCCTCCTCATCCTTCTCTTTCTCCTCAAAATCGTCAGTATCATCATCATCCTCATCATCATCATCATCATCATCATCAGCAGCAGCAGCATCATCATCATCATCATCATCATCATCATTATCCCCCCTCGCCATCCCCCAGAGTCCCCCAGAATCCAAAGGACCTTCAAGAACCACCACGGGCCATTGCACCACCCCTCCTTCCTCCTCCTCCTCCTCCTCCTCCTCCTCCTCCTCCTTCCCTTCTCCTCCTCCTCTCCTCCTCCCCCCTCCTCCTCCTCCCTTCTCCTCCTCCTCCTCCTCCCCTCCTCCTCCTCTCCCCTCCTCCTCCTCTCCTCCTCCTCCTCCTCCTCCTCCTCCTCTCATCCTCCTCCTCCTCCTCCTCCTCCTCCTCCTCCTCCTCCTCCTCCTCCTCCTCCTCCTCCTCATCCCCATCCTCATCCTCATCCTCATCCTCATCCTCATCCTCGTCGTCGCCAACAAAAATAAACCGTAAATTCTACGGCGGCGGCGCCGTCGACGGCGACGACGGCGACGATGACGACGACTGTTGCGAGTTGCGACGACGACGATGACGACGATGACGACGACGACGACGACGACGACAACGACGACGACGACGACGACAACGGCGACCATGCCCTGACGGCTTCGACCAGGCGTGCAGCACATGGTCGATTGGCTCCGCCGCCGCGAGGTCGGCGTGCACGTGCTGAGGCTCGGCGCGCGCGCACGCCGCTGGCGGCGGCGGCGACGACGCCGACTGCGGCGACGACGACGACGCCGACGACGACGACGACGACAACAGCGGCGACGAGTGGGAGGGCGAGGAGGTGAGGAGGGAGCGGGGGAGGGGGGGAGCGACCCCTTCCCCTCCTCCTGCCGCCGCCCCCCGCCTCCCCCACCTCCTCGGCCACTACTTTAGAATCCTCCAGAAGGAGGAGGAGCAGGAGGAGGAGGAGGAGGCAGAGGAAGTTGGGGAGGAGGAGGAGGAAGAAGAAGAGGAAGAAGAGCAGGAGGACTTCGAAAAGGGTATGGTGGACGAAAGGGAGGTCGAGAAGGACTTGGAAGAACAGAGTAAAAGGACGCGTTGATTATTATTTCTGGTCTGTTATGGCATGGGGGATTATTATTCCCATCAGTTGGGAAGCTGGTGTCAACATCGTGGTTTGCAAGGCTAATTTCGATGCCGCCGATTCGATTCGATTCGATTTCAATGGATTCCGATTCCGATTCGATTCGATTTCGGATTCCGATTTGGGCTCCGATTTCTCATTGGAGGCTTACTAAATTGCCGATTTCCGCCGATTCGATTTTTCCCGATTTGGCTGCCGATTCCCGCCGACCTGATTGATTTCGATTGCCGATCCGACTTATCGATTCGATTCTGGGCTCTCTCTCTCGGATGTGATCATGATGGATAGAGAGAGTAAGACCTAGGATGCGTCAAGGATGCTGCAATACACCCTCCCGTCCGCAGTCTCCGTCCATGAGCACTTATAGGGTACAAGATGCAATCGTATGGGGCTTGCGTTTGGGCAAAACTCGCGCAGGTGAAGGCCAGAGATGTAATTGCCAGGATTGCTGCGGCTACTCTTATATTTGTCTTTAATGGAGCCAGGCATTGGAGGCACAACAGAACAGACGCCAGCAGGCACAAACAGATCACAATCGTTTCCCGTCGTCTCCCTCGTCCTACGGCGGCGGCTACCCGGGGTCAGGATTCGACTCCTGGCAGCAGAGCAAAGCGCCAGCAGGCCACGTCATCGAGCCCAGCGGCATTGTCCTGCCCTGCTCCGACCTCCATCGTCGACGACGGCGGCGTCGCCGTGCGGCTCGACACAGGGGGCCTCAGGCAGATGAGACATGTTCAGGAGGAAAAGAAACACACAGACACAATGAATCCTCGATTCCCTAGAAAATACAGGAAAATATGGGGCGTGGGGGGGAAGACAGAAACCCAGAAAATATGGGATAATATGGGGAACAGTTTTATTTGTGTGTATTTATTTGTGTGTCCTGGGGCCCCTTCACAGGTGCTGTCACACGACCGTCCAGGACCGGCCCGATCCTCGCGCTGGAGGCCGGCACGGCCCTCCGCGCGGACAGGGCCGCGCGCGAGCCCGGCGAGCACCACGGGCGCGAGGGGGCCTGCAGCAGAAGGGCCCTCGTCCTCGCCTGCCCCGGCCACCGGGCAGGGAGGACGGAGCCCGAGGGGCCGACGGGGAGCCGAGCTCGCGCGGCGGTCGAGGCAACCGACCAGGCAGGGAGAGGAGAAGGCCTGCCACCGCTCGAGCGTGCCCACGTCTTCGCGGCAGGGGCCCTCGACGAGCCTTCCGGAGCCTCCTGCGGAACGGCGCACGCACGACGTCGACGAGCGCACGGCGGGCGGACGTCCGAGCGCTGGCGAGGAGAGGAGTCGAACCCACCGGCCAACCGCAGGCCAGGGCGGGACAGAAGCCCGCACGCGCCGTCGCTCCGGGGCGCTCGGCCGAGGGTGCGAGGCTCTCCTGAGATCCGACGTCGCAAAAGAAACGCAGCATCGCACAAAATCACGACTGGAGCCCTGGACCCCGTCTTTCCGCGCCATTCCTCTTTTCGGCCTCGGGGGGCCCTAACCGGGCCTCGGGAGCGCCAAAAAACGATGCAGGATGAAAAGCTGGTCCCTGGGAAGGGGTCCAAACTTTTGAGGGTCACGTTATGACATTATGAGTAAGTCGGGCGTGTCCCTCTACAGGGGGAACATTCAAAAACAATCAAAGAATTCTCAGGGGACGATTGTTCGATTATTTCTGGCCATTTTTGAGCATTTCTGGGCTACTTTTCATTATCCCTCCAAACTCCGCCTGTACGGGAACATGCCCGACCTAACGTTATGACCAAGTCACGACGTCGGGGGGGCTGGGTAGTTGGAGCAGAAAGGCTGTACCCGTGAGGCATCCCAAGAGCAGGCACCAACTTTCAGGGGCCGCGCCCTTCTCCGGTGTCGGAGGGAGCCACGAAGCTGGACCTGGAGCCTGGGCGTGTTCCTGGAGAGCCGTTTGCATGGTAGGATGTCAGCAGATGTGGACCTGGACTACTGTTGAAGAAAACGCTTGGAGTGAAGTGCAGTTCCTTATCCTGGGATCTTCTGAATGCAACGCAGGGAGGTACGTCGCCCAGCGCCGCCCAGCAATCGCCCAGAGGCTGGCCGGCGCGGCGAGGGGTCTCGGCCGGGAGGTGCCCGTGGAGACGGTCGCGATGTTGATCGTTTTTCCCACGGCGCCGGCGGCCACAACGAGCCAGGGCTTGTCTCCCATAGGCCTGCCTCTCCCACTGCGTAAGCGAAGCGCCCACCTGACAGACGGGCGCACCAAGCGACTGCCGCTGGCAACCACGCTGCCCACTCTCCCTCTTCTCCCCCGTGGCTGGTGCTTCGCATGGTGGAGTCCCCTTTTCCTCAGCGGGAAAGCTGGCAATCTTTCTCCTCCTCCTCCTCCTCCTCCTCCTCCTCCTCCTCCTCCTCCTCCTCCTCCTCCTCCCCTCCTCCTCCTCCTCCGCCTCCTCCTCCTCCTCCTCCTTCTCCTGCTGGGAGGTTGCATGTGCGGGAAAAGAACAAAACAAAACAAACAACAATAAATGGAGCCGACCTCGATCCTTCGAAGACAAAAAGGGGGGAGGTCCAGCATGAGCCCCAAGGAGACGAGGGGCCGTTCTCCACCACCCGTGGCTGCTGCACACGTTGAAGAAAAGTTCAGGCTCAAGACACGCAGGAGGTTGTGCAAAAAGTTCGG